GAGATCAAACCTGTGTCCGCTGCATTGGCAGGCAGATTCTAAACGCCACTGAGTAACAGCCAAATGTCACTGCCATTTTTCTTTACCAGGCACTTTTTCCTTTGAAGACCTGCACTTCCCTAAGCTACCCCCTGCTCCCGGATGTGGATCATCCTTGAAGCAACATCAAACAGCAACTGCCACACATTAGACTACGGAATCCATTTAGTTACTTGCAGTCTTCATATTATTTCTCTGGTAAATCTTGTATTGAGCATCTTCTGGTTAAAGAAAAGTACACAATTCATACATGTGCAGCTGAACAAATTTTGGATGCTATGAACACATGTGTGTTACAACCATCTTGATCAAGAGAAAGAACTTTTCCCAGACCTTCAAATGTCCATGACCTCCCCCCAGGGCCCCAAACCTCTGCCCCAAAGATAACTGTGTCCTGTTTTCTAAGACCACACTGTAGGTTTGCTGCTTTTGAAGTTGTTATGAATGGAATCACACTGTATGTACTCTTTTCTGTAGTTTCTTTCACTTGAGGTTATCTTTGTAGATTTATCCAGTTTGTTGTGTCTAGAGCACTCTGTTCATTTTCATAGCTGTCTTGGATATACCACAATCTCGTACATTCCATTGGTGTCTCGGATATTCCATTGCTCAGATATACCACAATCCATTTAATATATCTCAAACCATGTCATCATTATGAGGAGCGTTTGGACTGTTTTCTTATTATGCTATGAATTTTCTTGTACTCGTCTTTCGGTCAGCATCAGTATGCATGTGTGTTGGGTATACCCCCAGGAGTGGGATCATTGGTTCATGCAATACACACGTTTCCTTTTAGTACCTACTTCCATAGAGTTTTCCAGAGTGCTGGACATATTTACACTCCAACCAGAATAATAGAAGAGTTCCCGTTGTTCCTCGTCTTCCTTCTCACTTGGTATTGTCATTGTAACAGTTTTGTTTTGTCTGGTTTAATGTTAGCCATCTCAGTGGGTGTGGAGTGGTGTCTCATTGTAGTTTTACTCTCCAGTTTCCTGATGACTAATGATGTTAAGCATCTTTTTAATATGTTTATTTGGAGAAGGAAATGGCAACCCACTCCAGTATTCTTGCCTGGGAAATCCCATGGTGTCAGAGGAGACTGGTGAGCTACAGTCCATGGGATCACAAAGAGTTGGATATGACTTAGCAACTAAATAACAACAACAACATGTTTGTTAGCTATTTGGTTGTTCTCTTTTGTGAGGTGCCTGTTCAAATTCCCTGCCCTTTTTTGTGATAGATTTTCTGCATTTTTATTATTGATTTGTAGGAAGTCGTTGTATACCATGTGCTTTCTTGGTTATGTGTATTGCAAACATATATGTATTGCAAACTTATTTAACTCTTTGTTGTTCCTGTTCACTGATTTACTGGTTGTAATTTAGTTCATCTGATGAGTGTCATTTCACTAATTTGCAGAGACGTATTTGTGCATGTGAGTATTTCAATAAATAAAATGGAATATGAAAGTGCTTCAGAATAAGAGTTCTTAAACTTTTAATTTCTGTGTATGTGTGTGTGTGTGTGTGTGTGTGTGTGTGTGTGTGTGTGTTGGATTGTGCTTTAGGAGTCTTAGGACCACCCACATGTTTGCTAATTGGCTACCCTTGCAGGTCTTTGGAGCAGGTCACACTCACAGCTGAGGTTTATTCCAGGGAAGAGGTGCGAAGCAAGGACAACGAAGCAAAGAGGGACATCATAGGACTTTGAAGAGGTGGGCACAGCTTCTGAGTCTTTCCCTTCTGGGCTGCACAGATAGACGTCCTTTTCCTCCACCCCCAAGACAGGTGTGAGAAAGCAGGTGAGGGATGCCTGAGGAGTCTCAGGTCTGCTGTTATGTTGCTGAGTCCAGTCCAAGCTCACTCTGCTCACCACTCAACAGGCCAGCAAGTTGGGAGATGAGGTAGCATATGGAGAAGATGGCAAACTAATGTCTCAAAATAAAGGGACTAGATGCCACTTCCTTTAATAGAACAGAGAGCAGGAGGAGAGGAGGAAGGAAAATAAAATGGCCATTAATCTTGCAAATAATCCCTAGAATGCCAACCTCAGAGAAAATGTGTATATTTCTCTTTTCTTACAGCCATCCACAGATAGACAGGGTCAGGGTGTTTCCCTGAACAAAGGCACTTCGGTTTAACATTCATGCAGAGTATCAGGTTGCCCGAGGGAGGCCACTGGACAGTGTTGTTTTAGTGAACAAAAGCAACAGGAAGGATCCGACATGCAGTCAGATTTTGTTACAGTTATATGGTGCTGGGATGGACCTGTAGACACATTCTTCTGTGTCCATCCTTAGCCACCTAACCTCAGGACCCCACCTGTGAATGAGGCACCAGTCTTGATGTTTGTGTAAAGAAACTCAGACAAGCTGGTGTGGCATGACCTTTGTTTCAGGTACACATGCAGAACCGTCAATGATTGATAAGAGAGACTTTTTTTTTTAAGTTTCTAAGTTAATTTGTATTTTATCCATCATAGAAGCATAAAATACTATTAAAAAATCTTTAATTCTATATTGGACTATAGTTGATTAACAATGTCGTGTTAGTTTCAGGTGTACAACAAAGTAATTCAGTTATATACATACGTGCATTAATATCTATTCTTTCTCAAATTCTTTTCCCATTTAGGTTATTACGGAATACTGAGAAGAGTTGAGGACATATTTCTAGGATTTGGGCAGTATCAATCATGGTTCTAGACTTCCCTGGAAAGATGCCAGGAGTAAGAATCTGCCTTCTTACAGAGAGCTATATTAACTGTCCTTAGTGGGAAAATCAACTCCACAATACAATAGCATGCTCTTCAAGGCCAGAAGCCCACAAATGTGCCCCAAAGAACTTTTATGAACCAAAAATGGATGGCTTATGTAGTAGAGGATTTACCTATTTCTTGACAAAGCAACTACCTATAAACCTGACCCAGTGTTTCTCAGAAACTTCAACTACTTTTCTGGGATTGGGATTATAGAATCACCACTCTTTCTTGGATTTATTTTGATATGTCTTATTTTCCCAGTTCATTATTTATTTTGTGACATTTGGATTTATTGATGTAGAATTGTTGTGTCTTTTTTGGGTCCTTTATAGTCTGTGGTTTGTTCCTCTCTTGTGTCACTATTAATATTATGCTGATTTCATTTTCTTTTTATGCACTTGAATGGTCTACCTAGAAGCAAATCTGTTTAAACAGGTTTTCAAAACCCAATCTGTTTTTCAAAATAAGTGCTATTTTTTCATTTTATTAATTATTATTAATTACTTCACTTATGTTAGTTAATTCTCTCTGCTTTCCCCCCCCCATAGTAACAGAATGACTAGAATATTTCATATTTAATGTTTCCCTGATTGATGCTGTGTTGAAGACTCTGCCTTTATTTTTTTTCTGATTTATACGTCTCATAAAATTTTATTTCTTATTTATCTTTCTTTTTTATTTTTTAAATTATGAAGGTATAACACATTTACAAGAGGCTTGGAAAATATAGAACAAAGGTACATTTAGTTTCACTAAATATTACATTATTAAGTGGATATATTAAGATTTTTAGTTGGAGTTTCAATATCCAACTGTCAAAAATTGACAACAGAATGATATACAGAAATGTAGGATATAGTAGACCTGAAAAACACCATGAACCAATTCAACATAATTAAGATTTATACAATTTTCACACAATAGTAAGATACAAATTCTATTCCGGTTCCCATAAACTAGGAGACACTAAAACCTATCCAGGGACATAAAACAAGGTGCAAAAACTTCATGGTCTAAAGATATTAAAATCATAGAAGAAGCCATAAAATCATCTGACTTTTTAAATGAATAAGGCCACGCTATTCGTTTATTCTGGAGTAGGAAATGGCAACCCACTCCAGTATTCCCGCCCAGAGAATCCCATGGACAGAGAGACTGAGAGAGAGAGAGAATCCCATGGACAGAGCCTGGTGGGCTACAGTCCATAGGGTCGCAGAATCCAACAGGACTGAAGTGACTGAGCACATTGGTTCATTCAAAGCCCCCTGAAGTGTCTTCCCAGCTCCCAGCTTCTCTGCCCCACAGTCACAGGATAGGTCACTGCAGGAAAGTTTATCCAATCAAACATCCACCCAAGCAGGATCCATCATTCTCTGTCCTAGGAATTTGAAACTGAGCTAAACAATAAGACAGATTTTTTTTTTCCCTTTATCAATGAAGACATTGTGTCTCCAGTCGTCAACACAAGGTTACCACTGACTGAGCCCAGATCCTACAGTATCACTGAGGTTACACTCTCCTGGTAGGAAAGTGGACAGGGAAACCTGAGTGAAGAGCAGATATGATGGGGGTAGTCATGGAAAAGATGTAAAGAGAAGTTCTCTGGAGGGTGCACTAGGGTCCTGAAGAACAGAAAGAACTTTGTACTTTTCCTGTGTTCTTAACCTCCACACTCTTGACAATCTGCTCCCTCGATGTGCAAAAGTCAAATTGTTCATACAGAACTAAACACATCTTAATCTCAGAATTATTACTTGCCTATTAACCCATACTTCACATGAACTAGCTCATACTTATTAAAAAGGGGTTTGCTCTCAGAATTAAACCTACTCCCACTCTAAATTCACATGGATTAAATCATAATTATTTGCTTTCCTTTTATCAACCGTTTTCCATCCTTGTTTCTAATCCTGGGGTCTGCTTAGCAATTATTTTCAAAGATACCAGCGAAGGAGTACAAACAAACGAAAACATCCAAATAACCTTGTAATTGCTGCTTTCCTATGGAAAGAGTGCTAGCTGATGAAGGCGCTGTCAGGCCCCCTCACTGCTTTCATTGGACCTGCGTGCAAGACTTGGGCGTCTGTAAGGCAACTTGGAGGGGTCAACTTGGGGACACATCTCAGTCTGAGAGGCAACGAAAGGAGAGAGATGATCCTAAAACAGGGAAAAGCATGTGTAAAGCGGACGGAAAGCGCTCAGCGGCTCCCAGCACCGGAGTCGGCGCGGGCGCGGCTGGGGAAGGCGGTCGGAGCGCCGCGCTGGGTCCGGAGCCATCGCCGGGTCTGCAGGGCGAGCCCGGGGGAGGCGTCGGCGCTGCAGCCGGACAGGGAAAGGGCCGGTGAGCGTGGTGGCGCGGGGCGGGGGGGCGGGGGGTGACCCCGATGGAAACACACACACGCGCGCGCGCGCGTGTTCCGTACCCGGGCACAAACAACACAGGAGGAATTATTCAATCGGGGGCCTAGGGCCACCGGCCCAGCGATGGCCTCCCATCGCCTCCCTCCGATCAGAGGCGGCCCGGCGCCCTGGCCTCTGCGGTTGCCCCTCCGGCCCCTCTGGGAGGCGGCCTGCTTGCGGCGCGCCCTCGCGGTCGGACGGAGGCGGAGGCGAGGCCGGGGAAGTCGCCCCATCCCGGGCCCCGCCCACTTCCCGACGCCGCTTCGCTTTCGCTTCCCCGCGGTGCAGCCCGCCGGTCCCCGGTTTCGTTTCCCCAGCGTGCGGGGCGGCACCGGGAGGCGCCCATGGCCTTCGGCCGCCACCCGAGCGCGCGGCGATTGCTCGCGCGCCTCTCGGGCCGGCGGCGCGGGGCCTGCGCTCTGGCCATGGAGCCGCCGCGCTGCTTCGCGCTGGAGCTGCCGGGCTGCACCCTGGCGCACTTCGCGGTGGGCGAGCAGGCCCCGGACGCGCGCCCCGACCCCCGCGTGGCCGCGCTCCTGGGCCCCCCGGGCCGCAGCTACTCGCTGAGCGTGCCGGGGACTGGGGGCGCGGGGGCCCGGGTGCGCGCGGCCCGGCTTCATCAGCACCTGCGGCAGCAGCTGCGGCGCGGCCCCTTCCAGCGCTGCGAGCTGCGCCGGCTGCTGGGCTACCGCCCGGACGGCGGCGCCGGGGCCCTGCAGCACGGCTTCCTGCTCCGCGACCCCCGCGACAGCCCCGACACCCGGCAAGCGCTGCTGGCGCTGCTGGACGCCTGCCCCGAAGCCCCGCGCCCGCGCCTGGCCGAGTTCTCCGGGGACCCGCTCTGCCAGCTGTGGCGGCGCCCCTGGGAGCGGCGGGACGGCCGGGGCTGGCGGCAGCTGGGCGGCGAGCGCGTGGGGCCCGCGCCGGAGCCCAAGCTACACCCGGTGGTGCCCGACCTGCCCAGCGCCGGGGTCTTCCCGCACCGGGAGGCCGCCCGCGCCGTCTTGGAGGCGGTAAGAAGTCAGGTCCCTCCCCAGCGCCCAGGGACCCCCCGGAGCAGGGACGTGGAGGCAGTGGGCTCTCCCGGGGCGGGGGCTGGCCCGCCCCGGCCTCTTTTGCCTCTGTACTCCTGTTAGCAGATCGGGTGGTGAAGGCGGCCGCTGTGCCAGCTGCTGTTTAGACCCCAGGCTCTTTCCGGATTCTTGCCCGCCAGGACCCCCAACCTAACTGGATATCAGTGGGAAGCTGACATCCAAGCAGGAGCCGTGGGGTGCCCGGGAGGGGAGGGGAGAGGCGGCTGGCTGTGCACAAGAGCTGTGCCGTCTCAGAAGCAGTTATCCGGTTCTGGGAGGTCGGAGTGTAGAGAAGAGGGCTTGAGTTTGGGGGTTGGAGAAAGTTAGACTTCAGTGGTGCCCGCCTGTTTACTGGCAGCTACTTATTTCGTGTGTAACACACCTGCCTCGCGGTGTTAGGACAAAGAATCAGAGGTGCTTGGTGCGGGATGGCTGACATTCTGACCGCAGCCTGTAGGCAGGTACTGAGGCTGGACTCTTGTATCTTAGATACATTTTAGGAACTCGGGATTATTTCTGAGTGCTTACAATTGCAAAACCTGGGTTTGGATCCAGACACTGGTATTTATTGAGCTTCCCAGGTGATGCTGCTGGTAGAGAACTCACCTGCCAATGCAGCAGACTTGAGAGACTCCAATTGGCTCCCTGGGTCGGGAAGATTCCCTGGAGGAGGGCTTTATTCTTGCCTGGAGAATCCCATGGACAGAGGAGCCTGACCGGCTACAGTCCACAGGGTCGCAGAGTTGGACACAACTGAAGCAACTTAACAGGCACTGGTATTTATGACCTGTGTCACTTTCAATAAATTTCTTAAGCGTTTCTTTGCCTTGGTTTCCCTAATCCATAGATGGGGTTAATAACAATAACGCTCTCGTAGAGTTATGTTGAAGAGGGGCCAAGGTGGTACTCCCAACGGCACTTAGAATATTGCCTTGCTCAGAGAAAGCACATAGGAAAAGAACACGCCCGGGCCTCTCTGTTAGAGATGTGAATACACAGTGAGGTCAGGAACAGTTCAGACCTTGAAGCCCGGAGACCCACAGCAGTTGGCACTCTGCTGAGCCCTTGAGCGCTCAGGAAAGGACAGGGTGCTGACTGCTTTCCTTGGCGCCTCCAGTGGGGCTGATTCCCCACGTTTGTGACCCAGGGTCCATGGTCCACTGCCGCCGCAAGACGCTGCTCTTCAGTCAGGCATCTCTCCCGACCTTCCTCCTCTGGGGGAGGCTGGTCCGTGAGAATTGCAGGCCGAGTGGTCCCGACACTTACTGCCTGTTTGAGCCTCCGCTGCATCATGAAATAAACCAATCCTGCCCTTTCTGAGGTTCAAAATGCTTTGCACTTTGGCATGGTGCCAAACACAACTCTGCCTCATCTGCCCCGGGCGGTCTTCTCAGCAGTCAGACGTAGCTGCTGCCCCGGCCCCGTGGCCCCGCTGCTGATGTGTGGATATTGCTTTCCAGTGCACGTCCTTCATTCCTGAAGCCCGAGCCGTGCTCAGCCTGGTGGCCCAGTGCCCAGAGCAGGTCCAGAAAGGAAGGTTCCCTGTGATTGTCATTGAGGGCCTGGATGCCACAGGTAAGACGATGTCACCTGCTGGCACCAGGCAGCGAGATTAACAGATCAGTTGCAGAAATAGACGGGTCTTGGCAAGCAAAACTTACTGAGGGTTCAACTCATAAGCCCCCTGTGAGCCTCTGTTGTGTGCCAGGGACGGAGTGGAGCTGGCTTGGGGTGAAATATGGATACCTTCCAGGGGAGCTGAGCCTCGGGTGCCCCTGTGAACACGGGGGAATGCAACCCCCTTGGTGTGCGAGAGGAGGGGTGGGCCATAGTCTGGCAGAGCTTGGAGGGGTGGGTCCCTGGATTGGATTTTCAGCAGGACAGGCGCTGGTTGGGTGGGGAAGGTGGGAGAGATCCTCCAGACAGAAGAAATGGCAGCATGCAGGCAGTTGGAGTCTTGAAGTGGCCCAGTGTGGCCAGGAGCTGCGGGAGCAAAGTTTGAGAAAACTAGGGGGTGGAGGGGAGAAGACTTCAAAGCTGCCACACAGGCGTCAGAATGCAAGAGATGTGCCCACACTTGGCCCAAACGCAGCAGCAGGAGGAGGGTGGCCCAAGGGCAGGGCAGACCCGGGACAGCCAGTGAGGCTCCGTGGGAGGCTATCTCTTTCTGTGTCAGCTGACTGAGGAGGGGAATGAGGGCCTGGGAGCTGATGCCAGAGTTTCTCATTAAACCAATGAGGTGACTGTTTTGTTTTGGCTCAGACTGTAAAGAATGTGCCTGCAATGCAGGAGACCTGGGTTCCATCCCTGGGTCGGGAAGATGCCCTGGAGGAGGGAAAGGCTACCCACTCCAGTATTCTGGGCTGGAGAATCCCCGTGGTCAGAGGGGCCTGGCAGGCTACAGTCCATGGGGTTGAAAAGAGTTGGACATGGCTGAGCAACTGAACACAACAAACATTCTATTAATAGTGCTTCCCAGGTGGCGCTGGAGGTAAAGGACCCACCTGCCAGTGCAGGAGACGTGAGAGACATGGGTTCAATCCTTGGGTCAGTAAGATCCCCTGAATCGAACCCACCCCAGTGTTCTTGCCTAGAGAATGCCATAGTCAGAGGAGCCTGGCAGGCTACAGTCTGTGGGGTCTCTAGAGCCAGACACAACTGAAGTGACTTAGGACAGAGGTCAGATGGATTCTGTTAACACCAGTAGAGGAATCCCAAGTTCCTAAGGGTCAGCAATTTTTTAAAAAAATATTTAAAAGAATCATATTATTTAATCAACTCCTAAGTCTTATAGGTAGAAAAATTGTCTTTGCTTTTTCTGAGTTACTATTAACTTTGGGGAGAGATACCGTGGCCTTGGTTAAGATCTGCTATATTTTGTATGTGACCTGCAGGTAAAACCACCGTGACCCAGTCAGTTTCAGATTCACTCAAGGCTGTTCTCTTGAAGTCACCACCCTCTTGCATCAGCCAGTGGAGGAAAATCTTTGATGATGAACCAACTATCATTAGAAGAGCTTTTTACTCTTTGGGCAATTATATCGTGGCTTCTGAAATAGCTAAAGAATCTACCAAATCGCCTGTGATTGTCGACAGGTATTTGTTATATTGCCTTGAATTTGGCATTTTTTCCTAATGTATATGTGTGTGTGTGTGTGTGTGTGTGTGTCTGTGTCTGTGTGTCCGTGTAGTGTACATATGTATATGCAATTATACAATTGTGTTTAAGCCAAACTGTATTATGATAATAGTAGGAATAATGTCTATGATTTATTAGCCTATACCATTGGCTGGCATTTTGCCAAGAACATTCCATAGACTATCCTAAACTCTGGAACAATTACTACTACTTGGATACTGAAACTGCTAATGAGAAACACAGGTCTTAGAAAAGTTAAGTAGCTTGCCCAAGTGAGAATGCTGGAAATACCATGTTGGGAATGTTAACAAAGGTCCCTACTTCACAAGTCGAGCTTTCAGTGACTCATTTGCTTATTGGTTTGTTCACCAAACATATATTGGGTGTTTACTGTTTGCCAAAGACTTCTTGATTTAGGGGATTCGGTGGGGAATGAGCTAGAAAATGCCTTGTTTTCATGGAGCAAACATTGTGCTGAAGGAGAAGATGATAGTCCAGCACATGGATATGTAAGATAATAATCAGAGAATGGTAAGTACTGTGAGGGGAGAGTGCAAGGTCGTGTGGTGGAGGAGGGCTGACCCCCCCAGATGTGGCTTGGTAAGGCCTATGTGAGGAGGTGCCTTTGGCCTGAGCTGTGAATGACCCTAGAAAGACAGACATGGAAAACTGTGGAGTAAAAACTTTGCTGGAGGGGGATGCAAGACAAAGTGTAGAGACAGGAAGAAGGGAACATGTTCCAGGGCTGGAAACAGGCCAGGAGAACTTCTGGACAAGTGTCTGCTATCTGGATGGATAAAAAAACAGACAGATCAGCAGTGTCTGTGGCTGTGATAAAGTGTGTGGATTTTATTCTGAGTGCAGAGGGGAGCCTTGGGAAGGTTTCAGATAATAAGAGTGACATAAGGTGAGTTATATGTTAACTTTCCATAAATAAAAAAAATGGCTTTAAAGTGCCACAACAATAGACAACAGGTACAACAAGCAAGTCGTACTAGGGTTAAAGTCACCAGGAATCGGTGAAATGAGAATTAAAATGACAATGAGGTCCCAGTTTCCTCTCATGGGGTAGTGAGCCCTGATTGAAAAGGTCTGAGCTGGAGATGTTATGGATCAGTAGAAACCCGTATGGTGCTGGTGGGAGTGGGTACCTGCCTGGTGACTTGGGGAGCAATTTGAGATGTAGCAAAGTGGAAGATTTGAGCAGATTCTTGTATCTCCTGGAGAAACACCAAGAGAATCTATTTCAGCTTTGTTCATAATACTGAAAAACTTGAAAAACCAATAGGCATCAGCAGAAGAAAGTAAATAAATACTGGCGTATTTATAGAATGGCGCGTCCTATAGCTGTGTACATGAGTATGATATGTAAATGTGTCTAAGTTACAAAACCATCATTTCAAATGAAAGAAATCAAGTTACAGAAAGATGTTCAGTAGACTACATGCAAAATAATAGAAAAAAACATACCATAAAAAGGGCTGGAGGTTGAAGGGTGGGAGGAAAGTTCAAGAGGGAGGGGACATACGTGTTCATGCATGCATGCATGCTAAGTTGCTTCAGTCGTGTCTGACTCTTGGCAACTTTGTGGACTGTAGCCCACCAGGCTCCTCTGTCCATGGGATTCTTCAGGTAAGAGTACTGGAGTGGGTTGCCATGCCCTCCTCCAGTGTGATCTTCCTGACCCAGGGATAGGACCCACATCTCTTTTATCTCTTACATTGGCAAGAGGGTTCTTTACCACTTCTGCCACCTGGGAAGTTCTGGATATATGAATACTTATGGCTAATTCACACTGTTGTAGGGCAGAAAGCAACACAACATGGTAAGGCAATTATCCTCCCATTAAAAATTAAAGACAAAAGGGCTGGAAAGGTGTTGACCACTCAATTTAGGAGAGTCCTGTCCCCTGGGAAGGAGAGAGATACAGTTGGTAGGGAGGGCCACAAGACTTTGATAGCAGCTGAATTCATCCTAAGCTTTTCTCCCATGTACATCTTACTGTTCCTGCTGCAATTTTTCTTATTTTTGGAAAGATGAGCGATTGCATTAAAGTCTGACAAGTGTTAAGGGAAGAGAAGTAATTATAAATGGAAGTCTCAAGGAATTTCAAAAAGTGAACACAGCCGAGGACAACCTGCACCCACATCGTGACTTAGAACCTTACTCCACCCTGTAAGTCCTTCCTTTTCAGTCCTTCCCCTGGTGGGAACCATGGCCTTGATTATCCATCCCTGGATCTTATTTGTTCTGCTTGTTCTTGAACAGTCTACACAGGCAGATAGACTTCAAGTGCCATTTGCATCTTACTTCATGCGACCTGTGAGCTTTGTCGCTGTTGCCACAACCATTCTTTCATGGGCTTTTGTTTGCCCACGTGTGTTACTAATCCTGGTTGGTTTGCCCAGAGCTCCCCAAGCCAAACCCTGAGCCTCTGTTTGCAGCAAAGGAAGACTGTATTCACAAGGTCACCAAGCTAGGAGATGGGAGAAAATCTCAGGTCCATCTTCTCCAAAGCGAGGGGCTCGGATATTTATGGGATAAAGATGCATGGTACCCTGAGGTGTGGTGAGTGTAGTGGTCACTCATTTCTGTCCGACTCTTTGCGACCCCATGGACTGTATAGCCCATGGAATTCTCCAGGCCAGAATACTGGAGTGGGTAGCCTTTCCCTTCTCCAGGGGATCTTCCCAACCCAGGGATTGAACCCATGTCTCCTGCATTGCAGGCAGATTCTTTACCAGCACAAGGGAAGCCTTTGAGGTCTTGAGGTGTGGGGAGCCTGGGAAAAGGTGATAGCAAGTAGGGGAAAGGTGAGGTGATGATACAGTGCAGGTATGGCCAAGCATGTCCAGAAAATGGCCACATAGTTGACATTTTTGGCCTTCTAACATCAAAAGGTAGCTGACCAGTCACTACCTTGGGAGGGTCAGTGGTCCCAACCAGTCCTAAGCCTGGAGCTTGAATCTCACACACTGACTCCACTCCAACTTGGGCAAACATCTCAAGACTCCTAGGACCAAAATACTATCGATAGGGGTGGAGAAGGATCTTGTTACTTATTGTTTAGGCTACGTGATGCTTATAGAACATGCAGGGTTTTGTGAAAACAGTTAAATCAGGCTTGATCAGACAAGGCAGGTTACAGTTTGTTATTTATTAAGCAAGTTATAGTTGAATGGACCTAGCTGATACTGGTCCTCAGTTTCCTGTGTATGCCTCTGTTGCCTAGAATCCCAGGAGTGGGATTGCAAGGGTGCAGGGGGCTCACGTGTACTCACCTGGAGGAGGTGCCACAAAGAAGTGCTGAAGTGGTTGAAACTTCATAGCACCCTCCCCCTACAGTGGTGTCCGAGAATTCCCTTTGACCCACATCTTGGTCAACATTTAGCATTGCTGGTCTTCCACTATATCTAGTCCAACTTTTCCACTGTTCCTGGTGGGAACGTTAGTCATTTAAAAGCTATAGCCAGAATATGGAAGCAACCCAAATGTCCATCAACAGAGGAATGGATAAAGCAGTTCAGTTCAGTCGCTCAGTCGTGTCCAACTCTTTGCGACCCCATGGACTGCAGCATGCCAGGCTTCCCTGTTCCATCACCAGCTCCCGGAGCTTGCTCAAACTCAATGTCTATTGAGTTGGTGATGCCATAAAGATAAAGAAGATGAGCACATATATACAATAGAGTATTACTTAGCCATGAAAAGGAATGGAATTGGGTCATTTGTAGAGACCTGGATGGGCCTAAAGAGTGAAGTAGTCAGAAAGAGAAAAACAAATATTGTATATTAGTGCATCTAGAAAAATGGTACAGATGGCCCAATTTGCAGGGCCTGCAGATGTAGAGAATGGACGTGTGGACAAAAAGTGGGGGAAGAGGGGTGAGAGGAATTGGAAAATTACGATTGGCATGTACATGTAAACACGACCATGTATAAAATGGATGCATAGTGGGAAGCTGCGTTATAGCTCAGGGAGCTCAACTCGGTGCCCTGTGATGACCTAGAGGGGTGAGATGGGGGAGAGGTCCAAAAGGGAGGGGGTATATGTATATATATATAGTTGATTCACATCCTTGTGCAGCAGAAGCTAGCATAGTATTCTGAAACAACTATACTGCAATTTTAAATAAAAGCTAATTGCCACACCTGGAAGTAGAACTTCGACCTCTTCACATGTCTTTCTCCATGCAAAAGAGACAGATACCTGCATATCTGAAGTTTCCTAAAGAGATCACTCTGTATATTGAGAATGAAGTGAGAGGTGGTGATGGAGGGGGAGAGATGAAAACAGTAGAAATTAGTTAGCAGGCCTTCACTGTTGTCTCAGTTCTAGTACCGGTGGGTACTTTTGACTGTGGGGATGGGAAGATAGCCATTTCAGAGTCGGCAAGTCACAAAGGGTCCTAGAGGAAGGTAAGGCTGTGTTTTCTACTGTGGGACTTCGTCACCTGTGGGATGTTTTCAGCCTATTGTTAAAGTGTCCGGATTTACTGCACTGATGTCTTTTTGGTGATACAGTCCCCTTTATCTTGTGGAGAAAGACTAGGCTTTTCCTAATGAAGTGTGACTCCACGAAGCGTATTATTTCCTGAGATGTCCCCAGACGAGCAGCACTGGCTCCTGCGTGGAGGCAGACGCTTTGACACTCTAATTCCTTATCCGTTCCCTGCTGACCAGAATTTGAAAAAGAATAGATACGTGTAACTGAATCACCTTGCTGTACTCTTGAAACTAACATAGCATAGTTAACTAACTCTCCAGTTCAGTTCAGTTCAGTCGCTCAGTCATGTCCGACTCTGCGACCCTGTGAATCGCAGCACGCCAGGCCTCCCTGTCCATCACCAACTCCCGGAGTTTACTCAAACTCATGCCCATCTAGTCGGTGATGCCATCCAGCCATCTCATCCTCTGTCTTCCCCTTCTCCTCCTGCCCCCAATCCCTCCCAGCATTACGGTCTTTTCCAATGAATCAGCTCTTTGCATGAGGTGGCCAAAGTACTGGAGTTTCAGCTTCAGCGTCAGTCCTTCCAATGAACACCCAGGACTGATCTCAACTCTACTCCAATGTAAAATAAAAAAAAAAAAAAAGACTCATAATGAATATCCAATGAGTTGATGTAGGCAGACATGCATTGAAAACAACAAATTGCTATTAAAATATAAAGCATTATTATATAAGCAATGTATAAGGCGTCAGCAAATTGCGTTTGATTTGAACTAATGTGGTTTCCCTGATGGCGGGAATGGAGAAAACTAAATAATAAAGAGACTGAAATTGATGGCCAGAGGCTGTGATTATTTAAAATGAGCTGCAGTGTTGTCAGTGAGAGGACTCTGGCTTTGCAAAACAGGGCCCCCATTCTTCCCTGATTTTTCTTCTTTGTGTCTGTGAATTGTCTGCAATTTTGGTCTTTAAAGAGATAATACTAGATCACCTTGTCAGATGAGAAGAAAAGAGCAGTTATTTGTTGTCTGAGTGGGTTTTGTTCATGTTTAAAGATTTTAACGAAATCCATTTTAGACAACACCATCATCTAGCTGAAAAAATAAGGGAGATGGAGTAATTTTTGATGGTGACTGTGGTTAAGGTTGGCAACTTATCACCCTTATTACCTTTAAAAATCTATTCTTGCTGATGGTTTTGCTAGAATAAAGAAGGCTTTTTACATTTAGATGGTATCAGCCTCTATATTCATAGCTGAGTATTTAATTTGGTGAACTGGGAGAATGTGCAAAATGCAGTGCAAATTGTAGTTCTGTTGCCAAGAAGGAGAAAACCTGGACCTGCGTGGATTTTTTTCAGCTGGGGAGACAAGATGTATCTGGTAGAAAAAGTGAGAATACAAGTTTGTAAGTGATTAGGAGTCTGGTAAGCGATATACAGGGCTTCACTGGTGTCTCAGAGGTAAAGAATCCTCCTGCCAATAGAGGAGACAGAAGATACACGGGTCCTATCCCTGGGTCGAGATCCCCTGGAGGAGGAAATGGCAACTCACTGCAGTATTCTTGCCTGGGAAATCCCATGGACAGAGGAACCTGGCGAGCTACAGTCAATGGGGTCAAAAAGAGTCAGACGCGACTTGACAACTAAACAACAAAAATGATACACATGAATGGCCCGGGCAGAATTCAAGCATGCAGCAGCTACAGTGGCCATGCTTTTTGGAGGTGGAAAGGGACTCTGAAGGATGAATGACATTAGAATTGATCAATTGATCAACTGATCAATTAGAGTTGATCAATTGATCAACTCCCAAATCAATTTTTTTACATTTATTCTTTTTAGTACTCTCGGTGTTGTTGTCATAATGCAAAATGATGCAACTTTTGTTTTAACTGGTGCCCAGTAAGAATTAAATATTTTCTTATAATGACAGTGTGTTACATTTTTTATAAGCACTTGAATATTTTTGTAAAAACTATAGGGAAAAAAACAAAGCTTTCATGACTTTGATTTTCCAGACAAGGAATTGAAGACTCACCTACATCCACAAAACGAGTAGGTGGCGGAGAGTAAAACAACACACAGCTTTGATAAAGGACAAGCTTGTCTTTTGCACTGTGAAAAGTAGTTCACATCTAACGTGATTAACAGTCTGGGATTTTAAAGCATCGCATGCAGTGAGTGGAAAGGACAGACAAGGATGGGGCCGTGGGGCCTCTATACAGTGGGATGTGTATTAACTCTTTCATAAATATTTGTGAAGGTTTAAATGTTTTTGTAGTCCTTTGATACTGGATTTGGAGTTTTGCATTTTGTCACTTAAAATTGGAATATGACAAAAACAGGGCAAGAGTGTAGTAAAGGATGCCAATTAATAAAATGATTCTAATTGTTGTTTTTCAGCCTTTAAGTTGTGTTCGACTCTTTGCCACCCCATGGACTGCAGCATGCCAGACTTCCCTGTCCTTCTCTATCTCCCATTGGCTTCCTTGGTGTCTTAGACCATAAAGAATCTGCCTGCAGTGGAGGAGACCTGGGTTCAATCCCTGGGTTGGGAAGATGCCCTGGAGGAGGGCATGGCTACCTACTCCAGTATTCTTGCCCGGAGAATTCCATGGACAGAGGAGACTGGTGGGCTACAGTTCATGGGTTCACAAAGAGTTGGACATGACTAAGTGACTAATACTTTCACCTTCTCCCAGAGTTTGCTCAAATTCATGTCCACTGAGTCGATGATGCTATCTAACCAATCTCATCCTCTACCGACCCCTTCTCCTCCTGCCTTCAGTCTTTCCCAGCATCAAGGTCTTTTTCCAGTGAGTCAGCTCTTCAAATCAGGTGGCCAAAGTATTGGAGCTTCAGCTTCAGCATCAGTCCTTCCAATGAATATTCAGGGTTGGTTTTCTTTAGCATTGATTGGTTTAATCCTAATGCAGTCTTTCATATATCCAATAAAACATTATTCATTACATACTTATTGTGTGCCAGACACTTGTTTCAGGCTTTAGGATGTAGAGATGACTAAAAAATCATTTATCTAATGGAGGAGACAAAAAAGAGCTTGTAAACAGCTAGGTCTGACCTAGAATGAATCCTTCAACCGAGTTGAGTAGGAAAGGGTTGAGAACCCAGAGGGAGGAACAGTGAATTCTGTCTGGGTCTCCTCTGAGTGAGATTCCCTTTTCCGTTACGGTTTATCACAGGGTGTTGAATATAGTTCTCTGTGCTATATAATGTAGCAGGGCCTTGTTTATCCGTTCTGCATATAATAACTTATACCTGTTAACCTCAATCTCCCACTTAATTCATCCCTCGCCTTCCCTCTCCCTTGGCAATCACTACTCTGTTCTCTGTGTTTGTTTCAGTATCTTAGATTCATTTGTGTCATATTTTAGATGCTGCATAGTAAGTGACATCATACGCATTTGTCTATCTCTGACTTATGTCACTTAGTATAATCATCTCTAGGTTATCCATGTTGCTGCAAATGACATCATTTCATTCTTTTTCACGGCTGAGTGATATTCCATCACGTAAATAGACCCCCACCTTCTTTATACATTTCTCTGTTGATGGACACTTAGGTTGCTTCCCTGTCATCTCAACAAGTTCTGTTTTAAAACACCATAGGAACCGAATGGGCCTGTGGATTTTTATTTGCCCAGCACACAATATTAAATACCAACAGACTACCAAGTAAATCTACTGAAACAATAGAAACAGTGACAGACTTTATTTTCTTGGGCTCCAAAATCACTGCAGATGGTGACTGCAGCCATGAAATTAAAAGATGCTTGCTCCTTGAAAGAAAAGTTATGACCAACCTAGACAGCATATTACCTTACTGACAAAGGTCCATCTAGTCAAAGCTGTGGTTTTTCCAGTAGTCGTATATGGATGTGAGAGTTGGATTATAAAGAAAGCTGAGCCCTGAAGAATTGGTGCTTTTGAACTGTGGTGTTGGAGAAGACTCTTGAGAGTCCCTTGGACTGCAAGGATATCCAACCAGTCCATCCTAAAGAAAATCAGTCCTGAATATTCATTGGAAGGACTGATGCTGAAGCTGAAGCTCCAATACTTTGGCCACCTGATGTGAAGAACTGACTCACTTTAAAAGCTCCTGATGCTGGGAAAGATTGAAGGTGGGAGGAGAAGGGGATGACAGAGGATGAGATGGTTGGATGGCATCACCAACTCAATGGACTTGAGTTTGAGCAAGCTCTGGGGGTTGGTGATGGGCAGGGAGGCCTGGCATGCTACAGTCCATAGGGTTGCAAAGAGTCAGACACGACTGAAAGACTGAACTGAACTGAACTGAACTGAACCAAATAGATTAACATCCTCTGCCATTGTGCCTTCAAAAAAGAAAGCATCCTGCAGGGACAAAGCGACAGAGTAGTCTTGCCACACATGCAATTTCAGCTGAGAAAATGGAGCTCTGAGAAGTGTGCGCCAGATTATTATTCTGGTTACTGATTCTAACTAATTTTTACATGTTATAAATATGTTAAAAAATAGGACTTTGTTTTATCTCTTTAATGTATACAGTACTAGGACAAGTTCAGCAGAGCCATCCCTGGTTTTGACATCCTCAGTGGCTGATTTTTAGGTACTGCCTTGATTTCCTCTGCATACAGGGAACTCACTACCTTTTTCCTTCTCAGGTACTGGCACAGTACGGCCACCTATGCCATAGCCACTGAGGTGAGTGGGGGCCTCCAGCACCTGCCCCCTGTCCATCACCCTATATACCAGTGGCCCAGGGACCTGCTCAAACCCGACCTGATCCTGCTGCTCACTGTGAGCCCCGAGGAGAGGATGCAGAGGATTGAGGGCCGAGGCATGGAGAAGACCAGAGAGGAGGCTGAGCTGGAGACCAACAGCATATTTCGTCAAAAGTAGGTGTCCTGATGTGATGTGAGGGGCAGGGGTCTCTGGCTGTGGTGATGACCCAGAAACAGCACTGACTCCAGCAGAATGGAGGAGATGACATGGCTCCCATTTTCCAAATCAGCGAGGCAATATCCTCCTAGTTAGAGTCACCCCCTCCCCTGGGACAGCTCCCTGGGGCTCCAGCGAGGTTGTTCTCTAGCCAGGGGATACCTTCCTCCTAGTCCTGGCTGTGCTAGCGGCAGGGTGAACCTGACTGAGACAACATGCCTTTCTGGGCTGTTGTAACAGGATGCGCATGAGCACTGTCTGTGATCACAGCGTGAGTCTTACCTGCTAGGGGATCCCCATGTGTCAGGCGTTTATTTCTGATGCTCTGTAACCCTTGCAAGGACAATATTAGCCATGTTTTACAGCTTCCAAAACTGATGCTCAAAATGTTAAGTGATATATCTAGCACAGGAGACATAAGAGACCCAGCTTCAATCCCTGGGTTGCGAAGATCCTCTGGAGGAGGGCATGGCAACCCGCTCCAGTATTCTTGCCTGGAGAATCCCCAGGGATGGAGGAGCCTGGCAGGCTGCGGTCCGTGGGGTCGCAAAGAGTCGGACACAACTGAGAGACTTAACAGTTACTTCCTTACCTAACCATAAGTTTGTTTTCCACATCTCTGATTCTGTTTTGTAAATAGGTTCCTTTGAATTGTTTTTTCTTTTTTTTTTTTAGATCCAACATTTAAGTGATATATGATATTTGTCTTTCCCTGTCTGACTTGCTTTGCTCAGTGTGATAGTCTCTAGGTCCATCCATCGACGTCACTGCAGATGGCATTGTTTCATTCCTTTTTATGACTGAGTCTGGGTACTCGTTTTGACCACAAAGCTCTAGAGTGTTGGTCACATGATCATCCCTGGGCATTCCGCACACACAAAGGCTGGTTAACACCAGGAGGGGAGGTGGAATTTGTGCAATTGCAGAAGAGTCCTAAGTGAAGACAGTGCGCATGCCAAGGACCTCTGGCTTGTGCAGAATCCTTCAGAGTGTGGACTCCTGAGAAAATTGCCACTGGGAAACTTAATCTCTTCGAGCATCTGCACCTTTCTTTGCCAAATGGGGATAAATGACAATGGTTCTACTCCTAAAGTTACTCTGGAGTATAAAATGAGAAGAATATGCAGAATGCTAAGGCTTGGCAGTACTAGGCATTCAATAAAGGTTAGCTATAAAATATTATTAATTTTTCATTTATTAAACTAGATGTGTCAAATGTTTCCTGTGCACAACAGGTTGCCTGGGGTGGGGGGAGTGAGCTCAGCCAGATGGGGACCTGGCTTCAAGCTGTTTGTATTACGGTAGGAAAACAACATTTGCACGAAGGGCTGTGTTAACACATGGGCTGACTCTTTCATTCTGCCTGTCTCCAGGGTAGAAGTGTGCTACCAGCGGATGGAGAACCCCGGCTGCCACGTGGTGGATGCCAGCCCGTCACGAGAAAAGGTCCTCCAGATGGTGTTAAGTGTAATCCAAAATAATTGCAATTAATTGTAGTTACTCCGGGCCAGGCGACACATTTTACTAAACCTGATGCTGTTTGATCCATCTAAGCCCACAGCTGGTTGTGTGGTTTTCCCAGATTTCAGTTGCGTAAAGTGTGTTGTGTATCAGAAGGTTGGACATTTCAGTTTTACCTAAACTGTTGTTGTCCTGACCAAAGGACCCATGTGGCTTCCATCTGCCAAGTATAATGAGCATTTGCTTGGAACGGGTTCTGAAACTACACCCCCACCAAGTCCTTCCAAGATGTGTCTCCTCTAGAAAGTGCAAGGTGGACAGAAGCGACTGAGAAGTTTGTCCAGATCCATGGAAGTCCCCCTGGCACCCCCCGTGTCTCTGCAGGCTTGTGTCCCAAAGAACGTGTCTGCATGTACCGGCTGCCAGAGCCCATCTCGGAGTGGGGGACTCTGAGCAAGAAACATCTGGCTTGTGTCTGAGGCTTCTGGCCCCTAAACAGGTCCTCTTGGTTAGCTCTGCAAAGTCAAACGCAAAGGAGGCCACCCCAAGAGGCTCTGACTACAAACACACCGAGAGTCCTTGGATTCTGTTCTGCTGATTTACATTCCTCCCCTTTCCTCCGAAAACATTTCTTTGGATGGAAGGAGTGATCTGCACAGAGCTAGGTGCATTAAGGGCTTCCCTGGTGGTGCTAGTGGTAAAGAGCCCACCTACCAATGCAGGAAACTTTAAAGACACTGGTTCACTCCCTGGGTCTGGAAGATCCCATGGAGGAAAGCATGGCAACCCACTCCTATATTCTTGCCTGGAGAATCCCATGGACAGAGGAGCCTGGCGGGCTACAGCCCATGGGTTTGCAAGAGTTGGACACGACTGAAGTGACTGATGCATTGAACGGAGCCAATCCAGTCATGCATTTATACTCAAGTTTACATCTTGCTTGTCCTCAGTGTAGGGGCTGCATTTTACTAATCAGAATCAAAGCCAAGAAGCTGAATGTAACACTGCTGTATGTTTTTATTAGACAGATGCCATTTATCCTACTGAGTAAGCACAGTGGATCCTGGAATGGGATTTCTCAATGAATTATCTTGCACTTGAATGTCTTATGAGTGTACATGCACTTGGTATTAAGATTTGTTTGGCTAGAAGAAAAAAAAATTAGCTGAGAAAACAGAAACTTAATAGTCTTGTGGCCTTGGGTGAGTCATTTAACATCATGTAACTTGATCTAAAAAGTGACAGTAATTCTTTATTTTTCTTAAGGCATTGGGTGAACTGGGTGATTACTTAAAATTCCTTCCAGTTCTAAGATAGATTGAATCGTGAATTACTTTAGGGGAATGGCTCAAGAAGACATCTCCTCAGAAAAACTTAAGGCATTATCAGGTATGGACTCTTAAATTTTAATAAGGTTTATATTAGCTATCTCTTATTATTTTTCAAAAGAACTGTAGGTAATTTATGCATAGTTTATGTACATGTATGCACTTCCTCAGTGGCTCGGCATTAAAGATTCCATCTGCAATGCAGGAGCCACAGATGCAAGTTTGGTCCCTGGGTCAGAAAGATCCCCTGGAGGAGAAAATGACAACCCACTCCAGTCTATTTGCCTGGAGAATCCTGTGGACAGAGGAGCCTGGTGGGCTCTAGTCCATGGGGTCAGGAAGAGTTGGGCAGGACTAAAGTCACTGAACATGCACACATGTACATATATAAATATTTAATTTTAGGTAAATATTTTTTAAAGCTGATAAATCACGCTTGGGTGAAGATGTGGTATCTAATTATCCTGTTGGTGTTATTGACTTTAAACATTTTCAAAAGCATATGCTGGCACCTAGAAACACAAACATTTAATGCTTTCTGTATGTTCCTTGCCAATGAATAAACTTGCTGTGGTTTTCTAAGCTATTCTGTTGTCACAGAGTGTGTGGGTTTTCTTGAAGGGGATCCCCCAGTATGCCTCTTGTAAGGGAGGGGATTTGGGGTTAAAGAAGTGAAAAGATGTGAATTTGAGGTCAGAATGCTTTCAGCGGAAGAGGAAGGCATTTTTGTTTCTTTTTAAATGTCATTTCAAGAAAGTGAAATCCCTTCCTCATTGCACATGTTAAAGAGATTTAGTCCTCTAATCTAATAATTCTTTATCCACTTGTCTTTATATGCTGAAACGGTAAGATCACTGAATATGAGATAGCACCTCCTGCCCGGAAAACGATGACAAGGAATCATCTGTTTGGTTTTGTTTCATTAACACTTTCGTTTTTGTTCCTGAAATAGACCTTGAGTGTCCCATATATTTATTCTTCATCTCTGCCACAGTAATAGAACTTTGAGTCTGACACGTAGTTGCCAGGAATTTCCAAGTCTTTTCTTACCCCTGGAGTGGCCAAGTGACCACTCCATGACAGGTCCTTCCCAAGAGCAGAAGGGGATTAGGAATGTCAGGGGGAGGGCAGCCCCCCTCCCCTTTTAACCTTGCACACCGCTTGCTATTCAGGATGGTGGTAAGGCATTTGGGGGTGAGTGAGCCCTACACAGCTGGGGAAGCAGATGAGTGGGGCGGCTGTCACTTACAAAAACAGGTAAGTTCTGGGTATGGGTGTGTGTCTGGGGCTCCAACCTGGAGCGTGCATCCATTTGGGGACACGGCTTCTGCGCGTAACCTCAGCGCCCACCTTCTCTATTTGCTTCCCTTCGTAGAGGCAGGTGTCTGGGTTTTTTGTTTGTTTTGTTCTGTTTTCTATACTAGAATCCTCGTTTTTTGCTGACACTTCTCTCTGTGAAATGTCTCCCTCCTCTAGCAACAGTTGTGAAGCATCTTAAAAATGTTTAGACCCTGGTATCTTTTTGGAGTATATACCAAGGAAATGATCAGTAATGCACATAAAAATATTTCATCGTATCTGCATGAAGTACTTCAAGGAAGTGGAATGTATTTACTTAACGGGCACACTTGTTTTATTGCCCTCTGCTTTCTTGTGCTTCACAGATACTGTGTTACTTACAAGTTGAAAGTTGGAGGCAACCCTATGTCAAGCAAGTCTTATCAGTGCTGCTCATTGACAAATGAGCTGGCACGTGGGATCTTAGTTCCCTTACCAGGGATGACCCACATAAACCTGGTTACCTGAGAGCCTGATGGAGTTGTACAACGAGATGAATTCTGTTGTCACGCCTGCTAATACAGCACCCATACTGCAGCCTGTGGATCAAGAAGACTTTCAAGTCATTACTTAGGGAATGCATTTCATAAAGCTTTAGCTGCCATAGATGGTGATTCCTCTGATGGATCTGGACAAAGTCAACTGAGAATCTTCTGGAAGGGACTCACCATTCTAGATGCCGTTAAGAACACTCACGGAGCTTCCCTGGTGGTCTAGCGGTTGAGGGTCCACCTTGCAGTTTTGGAGACACAGGTTCGATCCCTGGTCAGGGAACTAAGACCCCACCTGCCACAGAATAGCTAGGCCCGAGTGCCGCTAGCAGTGAGCCCTAGCACCACAACTAGAGAGTCCTAGCTGTTCAGTTGCTAAGTTGTATCTGACTGCTTGCGACCTCATGGGCTGTAGCACGCCAGGCTTCCCTGTCCTTCACGATCTCCCGGAGCTTGCTCACCACTGAGTCAGTGATGCCATCCAACCATCGCATCCTCTATCATTCCTGAGAGCCACAATGAAAGAGCCTGCATGGCACAACGAAGATCCTGCATGCCACAGCTTAAGACCAGATGCACCCAAGTATATAAATAAATTAAAAAATGTTTTTTATTTATTTTGTTTTTTATTTTATTTTTTTCATTTATTTTTATTAGTTGGAGGCTAATTACTTGACAATATTGTAGTGGGTTTTGTCATACATTGACATGAATCAGCCATGGAGTTACATGTATTCCCCATCCCGATCCCCCCTCCCACCTCCCTCTCTACCCGATCCCTCTGGGTCTTCCCAATGCACCAAAAAATGTTTTTTAAAAAGAACATTCATGAGGAGGAAGGAACTGCAGTGTGGTGGAAACAGAAACAGAATTATAATCAGAAGTGAAGCTTGAAGATGTGGCTGAATTACTGCAATCTTATGATAAAACTTTAATGGATTAAGAGTTTTTTCTAATGGGTGAGCAAAGGAAGTGCTTTTTTGAGATGGACTCTACTCCTGGTGAAGATGCTGTAAAGATTGTTGAAATGATAACCAAGGATTTAGAATATTACATAAACTTAGCTGATAAAACAATGGCAGGGTTTGAGATGCTCGACTACAATTTTGAGAGAAGTTCTCCTGTGGGTGTAATGCTATCAAACATTTGTGTGCCTGTACGAAGAATGTGTACTTAGTATAATGTGCATTGATTAAATTATTGTTTAGTTGCTCAGTCATGTCCAAGTCTTTTGTGACCCCATGGACTGTAGCCCACCAGGCTCCTCTGTCCATGGGATTTCTCAGGCAAGAACACTGGGAGGGGGTTGCCATTTCCTTCTCCAGGTAATCTTCCTAAGCCAGGGATTGAACGCAGGTCTCCTGCATTGGGAGGCAGATTCTTTACCTCTGAGCCACCTGGGAAGTCCTGGTATTGATTGAATGCACTAGGGTAAATCCTTTACTGAAATGCTAAGCAGGATCCACCAAGAGACTTCTCTGGTGGTCCAGTGGTTAAGACTTTGCCCTCCATGCAGGAAGTGTGGGTTTGATCCCTGCTTGGTAAGCTAAGATCCCACGTACCTCCAGCCAAAAAAAACAAAATATAAAATAGAGGCAACATTATAACAAATTTAATAAAGACTTTAAAAGTGGTCCACATTAAAAAAAAAATCCTAAAAAAATTTTCTTGCACCTAAGATGTAAATATCAAAAATACTTCCCCCCCGCCACCCCGAGATGGCCCATGATTGAAATTTCAGCAAAAATGAAGGTATAGCTAAAACCCTTTTGATTATAAGCAAGGTTGGCTGATTCAGAATGGAAATTCCGTGCTGAGCAGCAATATGGCTTCATGGGTGCTAGTTAATAAGGGTCTTTATGTCTTTGGTTTGCTTCCCATTCAAACTTGTTTTTCTTTAAATTTTGAACCCAGGAGTCAGACACTAAGCTGTGCCTCACATGGACATATATATCCCCAAGCAAATTCATTTACTCTTCAGGGCTCTGTAAAGCAAGCTGAATCACTCAGTCGTGTCCGACCCTGTGTGACCTTATGGACTGTAGCCCACCAGGCTCTTCTGTCCATGGGATTTCTCCAGGCAAGAATACTGCAGTAGGGTGGCCATTTCCTTCCCCAGGGGATCTTCCCAACCCAGGGGTCGAACCTGGGTTTCCTGCATTGGCAGGTGGATTCTTTACCACTGAGCCAGCTGGGAAGCCCTCTGTGAATGCAGCCTTGTTCATATACTTATTTTCTTAGAATGAAGAGGAAAAAGAGAAATGGTGGTTGACCTTCCCACCACCACCACCCCACCCCCCCTGCCCCGGGAAAGCTTTTTTTTTTTCTCCCTCTCACTTTAAAAGCATAGTAACTTTATGAAATTCATTCAGCCTGCCGCTGAGATCTACAACTAGGTGGAGACACATTTTTATGATGCCTAAAAATAATCTGGTTTTTTTCACCAGCAGCATAACTGGTTACTAGACATAAAAGTCTTTAGTCCTATCAAGTTTCAACCTCCCTGGCATTTGATCTCTTAACATCCCCCTTAGGTAACGTGGGCTCTTTTGTAGAGAGAAGCTCAGCAGCTCCAATTTCTGTCTTCAAAGACCCGCTGGGCTGGCCTCTCCCCAGGATGGCATCTGGGTGCCTGGGGCCAGAAGTGTCATTTCAGCAAAGCTGGGGCAGGGGAAGGGTGGGTGAGAGTCACAGCATCCTCTCTCTAGTTGGAAGAGGAATGCCCCGCCCGTGTGGATGATTGAGATTTGTTTTTTGTGGTTGTTTCTGAGGAACCTGGCCTTGGTGTAGGTCTCCTTGGTGCTCAGGTCTCTGGAGCGTTTGTCTCCCATCCAGCCCTGCAGTCCTCTTCCAGCTCTGGGTTCAAGGCCTTGGAGCTTCCTCCCCAGGGCCCATATCCTCTCAGGGTATCTTCAGATTCACGATTGA